CAGCATAATGAAATAAGAGAAAGTGTGGCAGGCCAAAATTCTAAAAGGAATATAATTGCAGGCCTGACAGCCGCAACACTTGGCAAGAATGCAGGAATGAACTAATGGTCTCCTGCAAACTCCATTCCCCTTTTGCTCCTCTTTTATTCCCCATGGGAGGGGCCATTCATCGTCCACCTGTGGCCTTACTCCCAAGTTGACCCCTGTTCTTTAGCTGTTCTCTTCGTCTGGCTTCTCTGTGCATGCGCACACTGGGAACAGGCTCCAGCTGTTCTTCTGCCTCCCTGATGTCTGACCCTGAAGGCAGCTGATAACTGGCACATGGCCCTGGCCCCCTCTCTGCCTCCGATGCAGAGACCTTGTCCGAGCCTTCCCCAGGACTGGTCCATGTTTCTCCCCAACCTCCTCACTGCCCGACTCTGCTGCCAGATCTGCTGGAGGGCAACAGGTGCGGGCCAAGCTGCCTCTTCCTGTGTTTTATTTTGTATCCTGGGTTGTTTAAGGAAAAGCTTTGCGGGGGCTTTAGGGACCCATTTCCCCCTTCCACCCCCGAGTATGATCCTTTATTTACACTGAATGTAATCCTGATTGTGAGGGAAAGATGGAAGGGAAGATTTCTCTCTCTCTGAGGAAAATGAAAATTGACCGCTGTCAATTTTGTTTCCCCCCCTCCTTCTGCCTAGGAAAGAAGAATTAGAAAATGTGAAGAAGTGGCATGAGACCATTGCCATCGGCTGGCCTCGCCCTGGTTCTGTGCTTGGTATTCCTGGGCCGGGCCCAGCATCCCATGACGTCCCCTTGCCAGATTGTCTCCAACACATTCGCTCCTTGCCGAGGTCAGAAGCTGCTCCAAGTCCCTCAGGATCTCCCCAGCACCGTGGAGAAGTTGGATCTTTCCTACAACAAGATCCAACAGATCGGCTCGGCGGACTTCTCGTCCTTGACTCGGCTGAAAGAGCTGGACCTGGGTTACAACCTCATCTTCTCGATCGCCAACGACTCCTTCGCGTCCAACCTGCTTCTGGAGAAGTTGAGCCTCTTCAACAACTCCTTGAGAGAGATCCCTTCGCTGGCTTTGAGGCCTTTGAAGCAGCTGACTGCCTTGTCGGTTTCCAACAACCTCTATCGTCTCTCAAGGCTGGACGGGGTGTTCAGCTCCCTGAAGAACCTCAGAGAGTTGTCCCTGGGCGGCCCTGTTGTTTCCACAGTGGGACGTGAAGACTTTGCTCCTCTGAAGGACATCCCGCTGGAGAAATTTTTCCTCAAAACTGCTTCCAGTTTGACGGAGTATCAAGAAGGGGCCTTCTCTAAGCTCAACACCACAGAATTGTGGTGCGATATCGCTCTGGACAAGAACCCGGAGGCCTTGCCTGTTATGCTCCATGACTTGAAAGGAAAGCAACTCCGGTACCTCCGTTTCCGTAACCTCTTCGAATTCACCTACTACACCGATTCGGTAGACCTCTTTGCCGGCTTGGCTGAGATCCAGGTGGACGAGCTGGTCTTCTACAGGGGGAAATTCAACGAGAACCTGCTGCGTTTGGTCCTCTTAAACGTCCAGAAGTCTCATGTGCGGGACCTCTCCTTCATTGCTATCGATTTTGCCCGCTCTCCCGAGTGGAAGCTTCCGGAATCCGGCATCGCCAACCTGACCCTCCGCCGCTTGTTGCTGAAGGACATCAGCAACCCCGATATTTTGCGTTTCGACTGGACTTTTACTTGGTTTGGCAGGATAACCTACCTTTCTATCCTCAATGTCAACTTCAACTTTGTGCCCTGCGACGCCTGGGGGGAAATGAGGAACGTGGTACTTCTAGATGTTTCGAATAACCGCTTGTTGAATGAATACATCTACAATGAAGGCTGTTTGTATCAAGGAATCATGCCCAGCCTGGAGCACTTCAATCTTAGCAACAACGAGTTAACCGACCTCAGCACAGTCTCCAAGCTGACATCCAGCTGGCCTCGGCTATCCAATCTAGATCTAAGCCACAATCAAATCGGGAACTGTAAGGATTTGCCGTGTATTTGGAGCCCAAGTCTTGTTTGGTTGGATTTGTCTTACAACGTCGTCAAGGCGGGGATCTTCCAGTGCCTTCCCACCAGGTTGCGGTTCCTGGATTTGTCCTACTCCCAGTTGGAACGCCTTGAGATGGAATATTTCGAGGTCGCTATGGACCTCCAAGAGCTGCGGCTCAGCGGGAACAAGATCAAGTTCATCCCGACCAAATGGAGATGTCCCAGTCTCCGGGTTTTGACGGTGGACGGCAACTCTTTCGGTATCATCGGCAAAGGTTCCTTCGTGAATATGCCAGAGCTCACGCAGCTGAAAGCGGGGAACAACCCTTACCATTGTGTCTGTGACCTCTACGGCTTCCTTCAAGAGACCCTGACGAAGGGCAAGTTGCAGATTGTGGACTGGCCCGGCGGATGGACCTGTTATCACCCCGAGCCCCTGCGCGACACAGCGGTGATTGCTTACGCCCCAAGGCTGACCCAGTGTAGCATCATGGTGGTAGTAGTCATTGCCGTCTCCATCACAGCCGTTGTGCTGGTGGTCATCATGGTTCTGTGTTGGTGGTTCAATGTTGTCTGGTACCTCAAGGCCACCGTCCAAGTGGTGCGCTCCAAATATCGGGCCAGCCGCTCCCAGCCGTTGCGGGATTTCACCTACCATGCCTTCATCTCGTACAGCTGCTCCGACGCGGACTGGGTCAGGCGGGAACTGCTCCAGAGGCTGGAGGCCTCGACTCCCCCGTACCGCGTCTGCATTCACGAGCGGGATTTCACGCCCGGCCGTTGGATCATCGACAACATCATAGACAATATCGAGAACAGCCACAAAATCATCTTCGTGCTCTCGCGCAGCTTCGTCGACAGTGATTGGTGCAACTACGAGCTCTACTTCGCCCACCAGCGGGCGGTGGGGTTGAGCTTCGAGGACGTCGTCTTGGTAGTGAAGGAAGCCATCGACCCACAAACGCTGCCCAACAAGTTTTGCCGACTGAGGAAGATGCTCAGCAGAAGGACCTACTTAGAGTGGCCTTCGGAGCCCGGGCGCCAGGCCTTCTTCTGGGTGCAGCTGACGTCTGTCCTGGGGAGGGCTGAGGTCATCAAGACGGACCCAAAGGAGGTTCCGGCTCAGGTGACTCGGAGAAAAAGCAACATGGCTGACGACCGCCTCGAAATGGAGAATGTGGCCAATGCAGACGGTGTTCCAGCATGTTAAACAGGACTGAGTTTAAGCCATGAGTTTAACATCTGTGTTTAATCGTGGTTTATTCAGGAAGCCGCAATGGCTGGATTCACAGATGCACACACAGGCTGTAAACCGTGGCTTGTGAATTGCTATGACTCTGTTCTCACAGCAGGCAAAAGAGGCTTGTTTCTCTATTTGAATCTTCGCTAAGATAATATTGGTTTAGTTTATGATTCAATATGTTGTCCGCAATCCTCAAACTGACTTAATTTAGACCCAGGTTAAGCGGGTTGTGTAGAACCAGCCTGTCAGTATCATTATACAAAGAGGATTTCCAGTCATCTTACTCTTTCTTGGTTTTCCTTTCCCATGTGCTCAAGGTTAACCGAATGACAGAATAACTGGAAGCGACCTTGAAAGTCATCTAGTCCACATGAGGGAACTGTAGGCTAAAACATCCGATGAACGGTTGCACGAACTGGGCCTGGCTAGTCTAGGGAAGAGAAGGACCAGGGGAGACGGGAGAGCATCTTCCAGTGTTTGAGGGGCTGCCCCAGAGAGGAGGAAGGGGGTCAAGCTATTCTCCAAAGCCACTGAAAGCCAGAGAAGGAAGAATGGATGGAAACTGATCAGGGAGAGATTCAACCTGGAAATAAGGGGGAATTTCCTGACAGGGAGAACAATCAACCCATGGAAGAGAAGTTGCCTTCGGAAGTTGTGGTCATCCCTGGAGGCTTTCAAGAAGAGACTGGNCTCTTTCTTTCTTTCTTTCTTTCTTTCCCTCCCCCCTCTCTTTCTTTCTTTCTTTCTTTCCCTCCCCTCTCTCTCTGTCTTTCTTTCTTTCTTTCTTTCTTTCTTTCTCCCTGCAAATCTCACTCTGGAATTGCAAAGTTAGTTAGATAGCAAGATAGATGGAACAGCATTGTGATGGCAGTGCGTGCAGTGGTGGGATTCAAATAATTTAACAACTGGTTCTCTGCCCTAATGATTTCTTCCAACAAGCCAGTTCTCCAAACTGCTCAGAAAGTTAAACAATCAGTTCTCCTGAAGTGGTGCAAACTGGCTGAATCCCACCACTGAGTGCCTGTATGGGTAAATGAAGACAAGGCAGAGAGAGAGAAAGAAAGGGAAAGAGACAAAGGAAGGAGGGAATGAAGGAAGAAAAGACAGAAGAGAAAGTGAGTAAGTGAAAGAAAAAAAAGACAGCAGTAAGGGGAAGGGAGGAAAAGAAAGACTGAGAGAAAGAAAGAAAGGAAAGGAAGAAATAGAAGGAAGGATGGGAGATTGGGGAGGAAGGAAGGAGATGAAAGAGTGAGAAAGAAATAAAGGGAAGGAAGGAAAGAAAGAAAGTAAAAGAAAGGAGGAACAGGAAATAGAGGAAGAAAGAAAGGAAAAGAAAGGGTGGACAGTGAGAGAAAGAAAGCAAAGTAAAGAAAGAAAGAGGGACAGGAGATGGGGACGAAAGGAAGGAAGGAAGGAAAGAAAGAAGGAAAGAAAGAGAAAGAAAGGAGGAACAGGAAATAGGGAATGGAAGAAAGGAAAACAAAATAAAAGGTGGACAGTGAGAGAAAGAATGGAAGGGAAAGGAAGAAAGGAAGAAAGAAAGAAGGGGGGACAGGAGATGGGAAGGAAGAAAGGAAGGAAGGAAGGAAGGAAAAACATTAAGAGAGAATGTTAGGTTAGATTTGCAGGCCATGGTAATATAAGCTAAAATAAAGCTGTCTTGTGGCAATTCAGCCTTCATCCCAACACCTTGTAAAAACCTGTCTATCTTGTTAGGAAATCCTGCATGTTTGGCTCATGCAAAAGGGCCTGAACTCAAGAACTGTATTTTATCAACCAGGTTTGAGGGATGGCTTCCCTTTTTAAGTGGCAGGGAAAGACAGAGCCAGCTGCCTTCGAGCCTTTGACTGCCCTGTGGGTATTTGATATTCATGGGACAAGAGATAATTTAGCCTAAGGAGGGGCCAAGACCCACTGAAGTGGGGTGGGGTGGGGGGCAGCAGGGAGGGGGCTGCCTCTTTCCCCAAGTAAACACCATTATCGTTGGAAAAAATCAATTCCTGCCTTGCCCCAAATGCTCAGCCTTCCAGTCTGCTCTGAACTAGCTATTGTACTGCGGGGCTATTTACTCTAATTAAGAGGAGACAGAGTGGATTATTGTCTCCAACACAACGTTGGAGGAAGAAATAGCCCATTACGCTTTACCTCACTGAACAACAAAGAGCCCGGAGCAGGCCGGCTCCAACCCAAGTCGTGGTCCTTGATGAGATCCCCCTCCTTCCCCGCCATTCCTCCCCCACCCCAAACCCCAAATAAAATTGGAACAAGGAAATGGGCACGAAGAAAAGAAAGGATTGGAAGTTGCCTCCGGCTACGACAAGACAGTGTGGTGTGTCTCCAAGGTTGTGAACCAAGGTAGGGTGGTTGGGGGTGGTTGGGATGGAGGATCGGGGGGGGGGGCACAGGATTAATTTTCTCCCCCCGCCCAATCCTGAGCCACGAAAAGATTTGGAACCTGAGAGCAAAGTTGACTTTTTTTTCGGCCAATCTGGTGGAAGGGCTTTTTTACTGAGAATCCTTGACTTACAACGGCTTGCTTAGGGACCATTCATTACGACCAGTGCAGCATCCCCATGGTTATGGGATCAAAATTTGGATGCTTGGCAACAGGTTTATATTTATGACGGCTGCAGTGTCTTAAAGTTACGTGATCCCCTTGTGCGACCTTCTGACAAGCGAATAGAATAGAAACAGAAATGAATGGAATGGAATAGAATAAAATAGAATAGAGTAGAGTAGAATAGAATAGAATAGAATAGAATAGAAACAGAAATGAATGGAATAGAATAGAATAGAGTAGAGTAGAATAGAAAATATGGAATAGAATAGGAATAGAATAGAAACAGAAATGAATGGAATGGAATAAAATAGAATAGAGTAGAGTAGAGTAGAATAGAATAGAATAGAAACAGAAATGAATAATGGAATAAAATAGAATAGAATAGAGTAGAGTAGAGTAGAATAAAATAGAATAGAGTAGAGTAGAATAGAAAATATGGCATAGAATAGAATCAGAAATGAATGGAATGGAATAAAATAGAGTAGAGTAGAATAGAATAGAAAATATGGAATAGAATAGAATAGAAACAGAAATGAATGGAATGGAACAAAATAGAATAGAATAGAGTAGAGTGGAGTGGAGTGGAGTGGAGTAGAGTAGTATAAAATAGAATAGAGTAGAATAGAGTAGAATAAAATAGAATAGAGTAGAGTAGAATAGAAAATATGGCATAGAATAGAATCAGAAATGAATGGAATGGAATAGAATAGAGTAGAGTAGAGTAGAGTAGAGTAGAGTAGAGTAGAAAATATGGAATAGAATAGAATAGAAACAGAAATGAATGGAATGGAACAAAATAGAATAGAATAGAGTAGAGTAGAGTGGAGTGGAGTGGAGTGGAGTAGAGTAGTATAAAATAGAATAGAGTAGAGTAGAATAGAAAATATGGCATAGAATAGAATCAGAAATGAATGGAATGGAATAAAATAGAATAGAGTAGAGTAGAA